AATATAAAAATCCTGATAAAGATAAAGTTTCATTATGTTTTAGTCATAACAGCCAAGAAACTGATGGCTCAATTACACTTAGGTCGTTAGCTCGATAACGAATTTATTTTTTATTTATTTATTTAATTCTATACCAAAATCCACAGCATTTTCTTAAAATAATACAGGTTTTACAATATAGTTTTATCTGAATACCAATTACGGATTTTCATTTTTTAGTTATAGCATAATAGTTTAGAAAACCCTCTACCTCTCTCTCTCTTGTCCTCGAATGCCAATGGAATTCGGGTAAACGACTAAAGTATAAATGAACGTAGTCGAGTACGCCCGTTTTCGGGTAGTTTTCGTTTTGGTTACCCGACACCATCTTCTAGCCCGAATTCTAGTGTAAATATTGCTTCGGGTGGCGAAGTCGAGTTAGTGTCGCCGCACACGGGCCACACGCCACAGCCACAAACGCCGCCACGAGAAGCTAGAAGCGGCTACTAAAGTGACTGAAGCGCGCGACAGCGGCCGACTTAGGTAAGGGAGGGAGGGGTGAGGAATCGCGCGAGTGACGTATGGCGGCGTTTTGTATCGGCGCATTAAGTGGCCGGTGCGGGCCACAAGAAGCGAGCAACGACGATTTGTAGCGTGTGGCGGCCACCGGCGTACCGTGTGCGGCTAGTCTATATAAAATGTAGAAATCAGAAATCAGAAATCAATATATCTTTATTCAAATTGGATGTATAGTACAACTCTTTTGAATCGTCCAAAAATTTTTTTTCCCTACCACTCGTTATGGATATATTTTTTAGCTGCGGAGAAAAACGAGCGAAAAAAACTCCACAACATTAAAAGTCTAATGTAACAACATTTACAAATCATTATGTTGTTACAACGTCAATACAATTATGATTTATTCAATATAGAAAACCTGTTGGAATGATTGGAACAGTTCAAACCCAAGCATTTTTGTCTGTAATTTAATCAGACACTTTGTAATAAGCTTTTTTAATAAGTGTTTTTTTATATAATATCTTTAAATTTATTTATGGCTAACTCTTGGATATTGCTTGGGACTTTATTGTATAAGCGAACACAAAGACCTTTAAATGAATTATTAATTTTGTGAAGCCTAGTAGCAGGTAAATGATGAAAACTACAAAAAAATATGAGGGTGGCGGCGCGGCGTTTTGTGGTTGTAGTCGGTGGCCCGTGTGCGGCGACACTAATGTGTTTCGTGAATCCAGGCGGATTTTTTAATTTTTCGATTTAAATTACATCTTCGTATGCCACTTAAGTCATACTCGAGACGAAGAAATTGCTGTTTTAGCATAACTTGAATGAAATGGAAGACGTAGCAAGTGTATCACAATGAGTAAAGGTATAATTTTTTTAATAATAAATTCACACACTTATTTACAGTTTCTTCTGGTTCCACCACCATTAAAACTCCAAAATGACTCGACCACAGTATTCTTATCACACTAATGTTATAAAGGCGAAAGTTTGTCAGTGTGTATGTTTATTACTTCTTTACGTCTAACCGGCTGGAACAATTTTAATAAAATTTGCTATGGAGTTAGCTGACACCCTGGATAAACGCATAGGCTACGTTTTTCCGTAAGTAACATCACGGGGCACAGCTAGTTATATATCATTTTAAAAGGTAGCAAATACTAGAGAGTAGGCAGTAAACTCGATGATATTTGTAATATTTTGAAATTATGAAAGTGTACCCGCCATTTTGTATTTAACTGCAGACATTGTACCTGCCGTCATAGTCAGCCAACTGTAGACATCGTCGGTCGAAGTTAAATCATTAAAATGAAAAGATATGACATGACTTTATAGTAAGGAAGGTAGGCCATAGCGGATTTCCCGCCCGAATTTGAGCGCCCGTCTGGGTCGACCTTACAGAAGATCAATAGTAAGTAAAGTAAGTTTTTTTTTGAAGTTATACTTCTTTAAGCACGTTATGAAAAAATGATGAGAGTGAAATTTTAAGATGCGCGCGCATCACTGTAACACAAAATTTTAACAGCATGAAGTTGGTCTTGGCTTTAGCGACCAACTTCATGCGTTACTTTTGTGTTTACCGGACATTAAGAAAATCTACCAACAAAATAGAAATAGAATCTCTATTTAGTGGGTGCTAACGACTGCATTGTGAAGGCCTATCAAAAGTATTTATTAATCTGGAACAACGGAACCAAAGCGCGATTCAGGAGACTACAGCGCCATCTCTTGACCATTGGTGTAGTAGAACCAAAAACCACATCTTTATTTTTTGTAATAAAGTAACAGTTATAGGTATTCATAATTTATAATATCAAAAGTATTTATTAATCTGGAAAAACGGAACCAAAGCGCGATTCAGGAGACTACAGCGCCATCTCTTGACCATTGTTGTAGTAGAACCAAAAACCACATCTTTATTTTTTGTAATAAAGTAACAGTTATAGGTATTCATATTTATAATATTTATCCACATGTTTCTAGTTTGTATATTCGGAATACGTGTTTGAGTTTCATACAAGTGCAAATCACATATGTTCTAATAAATTATATTCAGTAGCGATTTTAATTGAATATTTTGATTATTTATTTATTTTTTCAAATTAAAACTGAACTTTATTGACTGTGTCCTTTTCCAGACTTTTTATTAATTTATTGTAATTATTATTTGCATGCAATTAAAAACTAACTTTAAACGATGCCAAAGAAGGATAACTTCTCACGCGCCTACATAAGTACACGCACCCATTTTTTTTTTATGTTATAGGGGGCATACGAGCAGACGGCTCACCTGATGGTAAGTGATCACCGTCTCCCATGGACACTTGCAACACCAGGAGTATCACAAATGCCATGCCGGCCTTTAAGGAAGGAGTACTCTCTTTTTTTGAAGGTTTTTGGGTCGTATTAGTCCGGAAACACTGCTGGCGACAACCAACATATTCCACAGTTGTGTCGTACGTGGTAAAAAAAATCGACAAAAACGCACGGTTGTGGATAGCTACGCATCACGATGATTGGGATGAAATTGGTGGTGTTGTGTTTCTGTCGATAAGTCAGGTTCCAGGGCTCCACGGGGTAAGGAATTAAATCGCGATAAAGGTTTCAAAATTAAAACGATACATATTTATTGAAAGCTTTATTAAAAATAAATACTTAATTGCACTTGATTCACTTACGTATCTAAACATACAAAACATTGACATAAATTATATGAATATCTAAAATATAATATGACTTAAAAATAATTAAAATTGTCATAGATCTTTACATCACAGTTAGGATGATATTTAATAGAAATATATAAATGTTTCTTTAATTCACTATCATTCAGGCGGTTTGCAGACGGCGGGGCGGAGCGGGCCGGTCAATTTCGCCGCGAACGATAGCACAAAGTGAATCCTATACTACAAACGCACACAGAGGGCAAAAAGACCGCGCCGCAGCTGCCCGGCGGGCACTGGCGGCGCGGCATGTCCGCGGCTGCCCGCCGTGGATCATACAAACCAGTTTATATATAGCGCCACGCGCTATTTAGTGATGGACTATTCACCTTGTGCTTTGTGTACGCGGCGAGGGCAGCCGCAGACATCGACGGGCAAACGCGGTTTTTATTGCTTCGCGGACAAAAAGCCCGCCCCGCCCCGTCGTCTGCAAAGCGCCTCATTGTTACAGTTCCTCGTACAATCAACAGCATGAAGGTTATATAAAAATGAAATTATATTAGTCATTGATAACCATATATCAAACTTGTTGTGTTTGAAATAAAGTCTATAAAATCCGCCGAAAAATATGACATAGCCGTTATAACCCGATGCGCTGATTGTACGTAAATGGCAAAAGCTTTAAATAAACACCTTACTTTAAAAAAGTTTTTTTACACATTTCAGTTTTCGATTTCTTTTGATCAAATAATCGCCTCATGGCTTTTTAATTTATTATATCTTACTTAAAAATATTTTTTAATAAATAGTTTTAGTGTACAAAATTTGTGCATTATGCTAAACAGTCAAACAGTCATATTTTAACGACGTAGAATGGGACATACAATTGAGGTCCAGTGGGTACAGTTGCAGTAAGGTCTAATCTTGAAGGTCCAATTGGCACCAAAAAGAGGTCCAATTGGCACCAAAAAGAGGTCCAATGGGCATGTTGAATATTTTTAAGAAGGTCCAATGGGCCATATAAATGAGGTCGTTTTGTTATCATATTTAGTGATACTATTATTTTGATTGATCCATGAAAAAGTGACTATCATTGGATCATGCCCATGATGATGATATTGGATGATATGATCATATTGGATTGGATATACTCTCTCAACACAGCTTGTTTTAATAAAATTAACCAACAGTCTCATTCGTCATACCTAGAGTCACATTTAAAGTCTTGCTTGACAGTACTTAATTCTTTAATAACATAATAGTCCGGTCAAATTAGACAGAATAATAAGAGTGAAGATTCATAAATTCATAAATGAGCTGGAAGTGAATAATATTGTTCAGAAAATAATTAAAAATAACATTTCAAAATTCCCTATCGTTCCGGTACTAGGAAAAAAATTTATTCGAGGACAAAGGCTAAAGAGATATACATCTCTTGACGTGACGTACTTATGCATATTATGAAGGTTATAACTTCGAATCGTTATTTCTCAGGAACGGTGGTTCTTAGGAAAAATACATGGATACCTTTTCTATAGATAATTTAATGATCTACATTTTCTATTTAGTAATTATACGATAAAACTTACCGTTTTGATGGAAATAGCGAAAAACCCATTTTTCTGATCTTTGACCTCGAGTAAATTTTTTTCCAAGTACCTGAACGATGGGAATTTTTTATAAGTTTCGAACTATTTAATTAACTTCCAGCTTGATGTAAATTTATGTACATTGACCGGGCTACAACGTTTCAAGCCCAAAAGAAAACTTTCAAGCCCCGAAAAAGATTTGTGATAAATTTAAACCATGCACCTATATTATTGGTGCATGGTTCTGTGTAATCATATCGAGTGGCCAAAATATACTACTTGTATATTCAAATCTTAAAATTTGACAGGCCCACGATCGATTCCGAAAGTCCTACCTTTTTTAAAGCATCTAGCTTTTGTAGAACTTTGAAATCCCTAAATGACATAAGCATGGATCTATTGGTCCATTGGCGCGCATATAAGAACATTACCAAACAATACCTAAGTTAAACTAAAAAGATTTTAGAAAACATTTTCGCTTGGATTGTTCAAAAGTTCTCACGCCTCTGTTGATAACCCTCGCGAGTTACTAATCGAATATTTGAAGACCGAACAAGCTCACATATGTGTCGATATGTATCTGTCCAGGCTGACAGTCTTCTGGTTCTCTTGGTCTTCGTTTACCACCGCTGGTGGCGTGCTGTCGCCCAGTTTGATCATCATGATACCGCCCACCGACACTGTGAATGATGAAGAAATTTCCATTAGTTGCAGTTCTCATAGGTTCGTGCTAATCTTCCTGGGCATCATCAGCTTATTCACCAGTCCTGCTGAGATACAAGCTTATGGCATAGGTTGATTTGACAACCAGTCGGGCTTAAAGCGTATAAGTAGGTGCTAACGACTGTATCCAGAACCAATGAATTAATGTTCATTTGGAATTACGCAATAGCTGAAGATAATAAATTTTTGGGTAAAACTGTACGTCCAGGGCCCAATAGGTGATACTCGAACTTTTTTGTAGGAAAGCTGTCATCAAAAAAAAAATTTTTTTCTGGTGCATCGCCTTCGCTCACTTTGCTCGCGTGTTTTGGTCACAACACTAACCTAACCTAACCTAACCTAGTGTGAAGTATCTTGGGCCCTGGAAGTACAGTTTAGCCAATTTTTGAAATGTAATTGTAATAATTATTATACTTTATTCAAATTGACTTATTGCAAGCTCTTTTGAATCGTCCAATATTATTCACCACCCATTCATGACATCCTTTAGTTGATGAGAAGTATGGGCGCAAGAAACTCATCCGCATTTAACAGAAGTAACATTTACAAATAAATCATGTCGCTACCAATACAACGCCTACTCACATTTTGATTGCTGTGTCATACAGTATAAAGACAATATGGTTACCCACCCTTAACTGACCATTACGGAAGTTGCGTGATTTTCACGATCACAAACTGAACGCTTTCAACTCGTGCTATCAAACATTGAATGTGGCGCGGCCATAGCGGATTTTCGGCTATGACCAACCTCGCTTAGGCCCGTATTATAGAACATATCGCAGTAAGAAATCTAGTTTTAAAATTAGTTTCAAAACGAGATTAAATTTTAGAAAGTTCTTTGAAACATAAACATTGATCAAAACGCAGCTGAGTAATTGCTTATTTCAGGAGGATATTTACGTAAAAATCTACGCTCAAGGAAAGATTTGATCTTTGTTTACTTAATTATGGTCGACACCATTCTTAAGAAGAGAATACGTATTAAAGTCCCATATAAAGTTGTAACCATGTTGTAACGCGAGTTTTTAAAGTTTGACATACCGCTCTGTTGTATATATTTTCTATAAAGTGTATTTGAAAATATACTTAGCCCATAGACAAATTTGATCGGAGTTCAAAACTTTTTTGATGCTAGTTTCAGTTGACTTGATCTTTTTTTTATTTGGCTCACAAAACTGGTTACAAAGAATATCCATGTTATTGTATGCATACAAATAAAACATAAATAAACTACTTTGCAATGTTCTATATTCAAGCACAATATGCATTTCTAATATTACCTAACTACTAAGGATTAATATATAGTATAACTAGCAAACCAGTGAACCAAATGGTCACCAAAAAAAAAATGTATTTAATTAATTGAGAACTTCGGAGATTTTGTGTGGTTTCGTTTGAAATAGAAATCACGTTATTTCTCGAAAACCGGAAGTGCTACGTTACTCAAATCCGGTTTGTAGTCTTATCAGACTATTCTTAACTTATAACTTACACATTCTCTTTATCTATCTCTTACGGTTTGGCCGCTGAAACAGCACCACGGACGGACGGACGGACGGACGGACTTGTCTAATAGATAAGAGATGCGATTCAACTAAGAATAGAACCGACTGGGCGCCATATTGTGATGTCATAGCTGTCAATTCAAACCAAATAGGTAGAGTGAGCAAAAAGAAGTTTTTATTTAATAAAACTTATTTACTAAGATTAAGTGAGAAAAAGCATCAGATTATCTTAATAACATTTATTTACTAAGATTGAGAAAAAAAACCACCGATTTTTAATAATATTTATTTAATAAATAAAACTAGTTTTTACGGGTTAATGCACGAAACTTTATTTATTTATTGACGTTTCGCAGCCTTTTCAGGTCTGCATCGTCAGAATAATGATTTTTTATTTAAAATTGTCGAGCTACCTTCGAAAGACTTATATTGAGCGTTCGGTTATTTCATTGGAAAATTTTTAAAATTTTATTGTCTATGTATGAATTTATTATTTAATTTATTATTTAGAAAAACATTAATCAGAATCTAGCTCTTCTATTCCGCTCATCTCTGCATTACCGCCGGAGTAGTTATGAATAATCATGCACTATTACTAGGTCACATACGAACATGCATCCCTTATGTAAATGAAAGTTTGAAATCGAGTTTCTGAATGCAACTTAAAGTGACATTTGGTTGACGATTTATATTATCAACCATTCATGACCAAAGCTCAATAAGTGAAAAAAAATATCAACCGATATTAATTATCAATATTTGTTATTTTTTGTTTACAAATGTTTGGTTTTTATTCATGAATTAGCGGAGTGCTAAAAAAGGGGTCCAAGTTTTTTTTTTGCAAACCGTACTTTTCAAGCGACATTTGACAGATAGAGGTCATTGGCTTTCCTATTCTTATTTGAATCGCATTATACATATGGTTTAATAAACTCAAAACCTAAAATAAAGTTAAAGTTAAACCCAAAAACTAATAGAACTTAATCAAAGAATATTGATTTTAAACACGACCTGTATAATATGCTGAGCAATTAAGCAGTGATCTACACTTAAAAGTAGCTTTGCGTGATTCGAGTTTAAATGCTGCTTGAGCCGCGATCTATAAATACGTGCCTTAAACTTTCTTGCGAACAATTTATGTCTCCACGAGTAATAGTATGCGTTTCATTGACGTATTTGTAGCCTTATGATTGATGTGAAGTACCTAATAGCCGTCAAAAGTAACCCAATAAATTAACGTACGTCAGTCTCCGACCGTGAACCTTTAGATGGATGATTGATTTGACATGGTTTCTTAGTTGAATGCCTTTACGAGTACCTACACTTAAATATTCTGAGTTGGTTTTTTTAAGAAAGTAATAAAATTAATCTAATTACATAATTACTCTATATATATGTACTAGAACAATAAAACTAAAAACCTTAAAAAATAAAATTAATAACTAAAATATATTATTAAAAGGAGTCCCTTTAGGCAAGGAACCGAAGATACTGGCAACCCCCCCTTTGAATGGCTAGACTAATTCTTTGTCCGAGGTAGCTGCCAGCTCTTCGGTCTCCTGTGATGTCGACTAACCTTTTTGCTATTTCCTAAAATAGCCTTAAAGCGCCAGGACCCCACGGACCAAGGGTCTCGACACCGAATGGGACAAAATCATATTCGGAGCCTAGACTTTAGGTTTATATTATTGCACTACTATAAGTATTCAGAAGGTTATAGAAAATCAGATAACACATTTAAGATTGTATTGCGACTAAAAGAAAATTTTAAAAAGAGGCAGGCGTAACCACAGGCACGCACATATCCGCAATACATTTTGTAATAGTATAGGTATGATGGAGTTAGGGTATAGAATTACGTAAACTATACAATATATAATGTAAGAAAAATTACATAAGTAAGTTTATAAAAAATTCAATGCTTTTGCGTCTATAATTCTTTTCATGTGTTTTGATGAAACTTTCTAGGGATTTTTTTTGAGATAGCCACATAACAAGACAACACCGGCTCTAGTCAAGTGGCAGTCTTTCTGCAACTAAACGCTGCTAGTAGCTAAGTGGTGTGGCCACTAAACGCTGCTAGTAGCTTAGTGATATCGCCACTAAATGCTGCTATTAGCTAAGTGGTATGGCCACTATACGCTGCTTGTAGCTTAGTGGTATGGCCATTAAACGCTGCTAGTAGCTTAGTGGTATGGCCACTAAACTTTGCTAGTAGCTTAGTGGTATGGCCACTAAACGCTGCTAGTACTAAGTGGTATGGGCACTAAATGCTGCTACTAGCTTAGTGGTATGGCCATTATACACTGCTAGTAGCTTAGTGGTATGACCAGTAAACGCTGCTAGTAGCTAAGTGGTATGGCCACTAAACGCTGCTAGTAGCTTAGTGGTATGGCCACTAAATGCTGCTACTAGCATAGTGGTATGGCCACTAAATGCTGCTACTAGCATAGTGGTATGGCCACTAAACGCTACTAGTAGCTTAGTGGAATAGCCACTAAACGCCGCTAGCGGCTTTGTGGCGGCCATTCGAACGCTTAGTTTGCATCGATACTATACAAAATGTATGAAAGAACTCGACCGTAGCTTGCGGACGCGTTTAGTGGTCATCACTAGTGGCTCAATTTGAGGAACACAATGGCCAGAGCTATTAACTGCTTAGTGGGAAGCATCTCCATAAGCGGAACCTAGACATAAAGAGAAGATAAGAAGTGCAGGAGTTAGAGTGAAACTTACTGGTCAGCAGTGCCGCCACAGCGATGAAAGGCGCGGGGCAGGAGTAGTCCAGCAGCACCCCCACCGCCAGGCTTGACGTCTGTAAGTGCAGCGGTTAGAGTCACACTTACTGGTCAGCAGTGCCGCCACAGCGATGAAAGGCGCGGGGCAGGAGTAGTCCAGCAGCACTCCTACTGCCAGGCTTGACGTCTGTTAGTGCAGCGGTTAGAGTCACACTTACTGGTCAGCAGTGCCGCCACAGCGATGAAAGGCGCGGGGCAGGAGTAGTCCAGCAGCACTCCTACTGCCAGGCTTGACGTCTGTAAGTGCAGCGGTTAGAGTCACACTTACTGGTCAGCAGTGCCGCCACAGCGATGAAAGGCGCGGGGCAGGAGTAGTCCAGCAGTACCCCCACCGCCAGGTTGGAGGCTACGCCCCCTGCGCGCCCCCACCACGCGCCCCAGCAAACCCCTAGACCACTGAAACAAGAACCACTTCGTTGTGAGCGGGAAGCGACTTGAAGCTTGAATAGACTATTTACTTATTAAATCTAGAAAGACCAAACACCTGGTAATATGTTATTAGGTTACATAAAAATTACACAAAGCCATTTATAGGTCTTCACCAATAGTCTGGGACAGTCGGCAACGGTTGCCGCGACCACACCCGCACTCCCGGCGTTCATTGGGAGTCCTGCGGTTCTCAGAATGTACGCCGAGTGACCGGTGCAGAAGTATTGTCTGGTTCTTAGTGGCCCTGTTCAGGGAATTAGGTAGGGCCTTGCTCATTTTACCCGCTCCAAGGGCTGGCTGTAAAGAGCAGGGAGGAGTCCCACATAGCTTCTTCTCACTCCCCTGGTGGTTGAAGGATGCGAAAGGCATTTCCCAGACATAAAAAAGGCTTTCACCAATAGTGCTGCTATGATGGAGCGGAGACTCCCATCCAGGATAAATGCCAGAAAAGACCTTTTGTCTGTTGTTTACAAGTAAGTAAACGTGTAGTTCGGGCAGAACTTACAGAAACATAAATATATAAATAAATATTTCCAACACTCACACCAACAGGCATGATGACGGGGTAAAGTAAACGAAATTCTATTTAGTCCCTCAGTTAGATGATCAAAAAATAATGGACATGTATTTTTTCTTTGGGCAATCAACCAAAAAATGACAAAGTAAAAGCGCGTCAAATTTTGGGAATAGGGGCTCCTGACGTCACTTGTAAGTGAAAATTGTACCAAAACGTGACGTCATGCGACTTTTCAAATCAATATATCTCTGCAATGTTTATATTATGTGAAAAAATAAAAAAAATACGTGTCCAATACTTTTTGATAATCTACCTGATAAACGAAAAAAAAATTGTCATCATCCCTATTACCCTAGCTCCAAAGTAAACACTGCAGGCTTGTGTAATGGGATACTAGGATAACGGAAAGAATACATATATAAGTATATTTATATAGAAATACATATTAAATATCCATTACAGAGTACACAAGCTTGAATTCATCACAGAAAAATCTGGGATTCTAATCCAGGACCTCTCGAGTAGGCGACACCAAACCCGGCGTACAAACCACTCGGCCACGGAGGTCATCAAAACTTAAAAAAAGTATTGATCAACCATTCTTTGATCACCACTCTATCCAGATTTAGGTTTAAAATTGATGTATCGTGAGCTTCGAGTTAATGGCGTTCAAAATTATGTTACAGTAGGTTGGAATGGATTACAATAACGATCGACATATCGATTAATGAAATAGAAAATCAAAATTCTGATACATTATGTTACAACAAAAATATATTTCTTATGTCGTAGTAATTAATTTGATCTAATTTATTGAACATTATTGAGAGATTCAGGCGTTTGAAGTTGTGCATATTATCGTTTTTTCTGTAAGCTAGCTTCAGTAGAACGATCAATACAAAAAAAGGAAAATAGTATTTGCAAATATTCTACATTAACTTACAATAGGAAGAATAATTCTACTGTTAACTTCTATTGGAAACAGTCATAATCTTTTCTAAGGGGGTAAATAAGGCGCTCGAAAATTACGATTTTTTGCAAAAAAAGTGTAATGGCTCTTAACCACGTTCGCGTTAAGTATTTTTTTAAATCCCCGAGGAACTTAACAACTTTCCGGGATAAAAATATCTCAATCTAGGTCATAAACTATATGCGTAATACCTACCCAAATCTGTTCAGAAGTTTTTGTGTGATTGAGTAACGAAGATACAAACACATTTATTATATTACGTAGGATACGTGAATCAAACGATACAGTGCGATTCAAACTTAATGGCGACTGTGAAGTTAATGCAAGTGGCTGCGTAGAAACGAAATTTGGAGTGATGTAGGCGAGCGCAGGATTTCACTGAACTGAAATCAGCGCATAGAAGAAGCACTGACTGCCAACTTCACAGTAGCAGAACTTCACAGCCGCCATAAAGTTTAAATCATATCATACTATACGTGAAACATATTTTTAGCACTTATTACTTACTACTCATGGATGACTGTGAAACATCACCAAAGTTAACAAAGTAAAAAATATCCCTAAAGCAATTTGTAGAAAAAATTGCATTTAAAGTTCTCAAATTATTTAGTGAAAACTACAGAACTTGAATATACTTGAAAATTGCTGAGAGAATGAAAATTGTATCTGATACAAAAGATAGCAGATATAATGCGATTCAAATAAGAATAGGAATGCCAATGACCTCCATTTGTCAAATGTCGCTTGAAAAGTACGGTTTGCAAAAAAAACTTAGCTCGAGCGCGGAACCCTTTTTTAGCACTCAGCTAATTCTAGAATAAAAAGCAAACATTTGTAAACAAACAATAACAAATATTGGTAATTAATATTGTTTGTTATTTTTTATTTTTTTATTGAGCTTTGGCTATGACTGGTTGATAACCTAAATCATGAACCAAATGTCACTTTAAGTTGCGTTCATAAACTCGATTTAAAAGTTTCGTTTTCATAAAAGATACATGTTATATAGAAATACATATTAAATATCCATTACAGAATACACAAGCTTGAATTCATCACAGAAAAATCTGGGATTCTAATCCAGGACCTCTCAAGTAGGCGACACCAAACCCGGCGTACAAACCACTCGGCCACGGAGGTCATCAAAACTTAAAAAAGTATTGATCAACCATTCTTTGATCACCACTCTATCCAGATTTAGGTTTAAAATTGATGTATCGTGAGCTTCGAGTTAATGGCGTTCAAAATTATGTTACAGTAGGTTGGAATGGATTACAATAACGATCGACATATCGTGACATCGAACTTTAAATATGTAGGCTTAAATAAGAGAAATGAAGCTTTTGTTCTCACCTTAATTTGGCTGGTAACGCATGTAAAAGTAGTCTGATGAGAAGTACATTTCCGTTCAGTGATGCAGCATTCAGTGCCGCAGCCGCTGCAACCGCTATCTGATGAAAAATATTTGAATAAAAAAAAAATCTAAATAAAAAATTCACGGAGACCCGCAAACAAAACATCAAAATAGAGTAACTAAATGTATTTAACTAAACCAGGCATGGTGTTTTTTTCTTTAAAACCACTCAAAAGCACTTAAACTAGTCTGAATACACGGCATATTTTTTTTTCATCCAAAAAACAGCGAACGACGAACTTACACAGACAACAGTATAAATATTTCATATGGCAGTTGACGTAATGAATGGCTGGTTAGCTAGCCCGTTCTTCCCTCTAAAAATTGATATAAGAATTTAGGGGATAGCCAAATAAATGTCGTATTGGACACGGGGCCGACTTTCGGTCGGTAAATCGACCGACTGTCCGCATATCGGGGTATTGACAAAAACCGACAGTCGGTCGATGGCCGCCTGAGAGGAAGAGGATGCCTCGCTAAAGCCATCTTGATCCAGTTAGAAACTACTAACTGAAATGCGCTCAGAAAATGTTGTAGTCCAGCCGTTTAGGAGCAGTTCAATTGCATTTATAAAGTCAGTAGAGAACTTCCCACAGCGGTTTTGTGCTGCAAGTGTTCATGGGCCGCAATGACCACCATCAGATGTAGCTTTTTGTCCATAAAAACTTAAAAAAACATATATTTCTCTTCACCCCAAGCTTTTCTTTACACAAAGGTAACACGTGCCTTTTGCGGCGCATTCTGTGTGTTTTTACTTTTTCAGTCCAATTACCTTTTTTTGATGAGGACGGCTTAGCACGCACACGCGAGTGCGCACTCACCGTCTGATAGTATTTACGCAGTACAGTGTGACAAGGATCTTCATGAATGTGAGTAACAGTTCAGAGAGGGCGCCACTGTCTTCGTAAATGACAAAAAAGATATGACGCTTACAAAGACGGCGGCGAAAGTTCCAATTCCATGTTTGTCTATGATCCCTGGACTAACTATACCCATTTATTGCCTTATTCGATGAGACGCAGGAACAATCACACGTAGCTAGGCAAGCACGACTGTACGCATAAAATATAGCAGTCACCGCAGCTTCTTAACCTCCAGTCCACTCACCTCGTTCTACGAAGCGCAGGATCAAGCACATGTGGCTAAGAAAGCATTAAAGGTTTTAACTGTCTGTATGGAAAAATACATCAGCATTTCATTCTTACCTTATCGATGAGGCACAAGAACAAGCACATGCAGCCAAGCATGCGCAAGCGAACGCGCAGGCCAGCGCACTGATAGTTTTTACTGTCTGCATGGGAAAATGTGAGTGACAGTTTGGGACAAGCACCGCCCTCTACGTAAATTACCGTAAATGACATACAAAATAAGACGTTTACAAAGACGGCGGCATTACTTCCAATTCTCGCCTGATTCATAAAGATCCTTCTACGCACTATAGTGGGCGCAATCCATGTTTGTCTATGGTCCCTGAACTGACTATATCCATTTATTGCACGCCAAAAACATAGCAGTCGCCGCAGCATGGTTTTCTTAACCTTCAGTGTACTCACCTCGTTCGACGAAGCGCAGTTACAAGCACATGTGGTTCTCGCATACATGGCTAAGCACGCAATGAAAGGATTTAACTATCTGTATCGAAAAATATATAGCATTTTATTGTTACCTTGTTCGATGAGGCACAAGAACAAGCACACGCAGCCAAGCATGCGCAAGCGAACGCGCAGGCCAGCGCACACGCCGCCGCCGCGCGCCGCACGCCGCGACCGCCGCCGTGGGCGCAGAGCAACGCGCAAGCCGCGTTGCCGAGTACGCAACACGCGCCCACTATAAGGCCTGATGTGAATACCTGGTAAACACATAGTAAAAATATAAAATAAAAAAAGTTCTATTATTAAGAGCCCTTTTACAAAATTGCACCGCTGGCGCTGCCGTACTAATCGGCGCGTAGGTAGATTTGCACCATATTGCATTTTACGGGTATTTGGTGGGGAACGGGGGTCTTCGGTACTCCTTTGGTTAATAAATCGTTTATTTATCGTTTACACTGCTTTATTCGTATAAGTTACAAAATTAAATTAAATATTTAAAAATGCGTGCCGTTTCGTATGGTAGTCGAGAGATGTGTGTGACGTTTAAATTTCTCCACTCAGTTCTTCGCGCTCGTCCGCAGATGTCTCACTAGATGGCGCTAGTGGTCGGTAACAACCACGGTAACAACGGGTGATGATAAGAGTCTTATAAAATAATTATTAATGAACTAATTATAAAAATATATACATATTTCAGTAGTTCAACGACGGTAGATAAGTATTATGAAAATTTTTGATAGTAATTCTATTTAATGCAATATCAAACTATGAGGTAAACCTGCACGGAAAACTCACGGAGGTTAGATGTTTTTTTGATAATTAATGAAATAGAAAATCAAAATTCTAATACATTATGTTACAACAAAAATATATTTCTTATGTCGTAGTAATTAATTTGATCTAATTTATTCAACATTATTGAGAGATTCAGGCGTTTGAAGTTGTGCATATTATCGTTTTTTCTGTAAGCTAGCTTCAGTAGAACGATCAATACAAAAAAAGGAAAATAGTATTTGCAAATATTCTACATTAACTTACAATAGGAAGAATAATTCTACTGTTAACTTCTATTGGAAACAGTCATAATCTTTTCTTAGATGGTAAATAAGGCGCTCAAAAATTACGATTTTTTGCAAAAAAAGTGTAATGGCTCTTAACCACGTTCGCGTTAAGTATTTTTTAAATCCCCGAGGAACTTAACAACTTTCCGGGATAAAAATATCTCAATCTAAGTCATAAACTATATGCATACCTACCCAAATCTGTTCAGTAGTTTTTGTGTGATTGAGTAACGAACATACAAACACATTTATTATATTATACGATTTATTATAGGATACGTGAATCAAACGATACAGTGCGATTCAAATTTAATGGCGACTGTGAAGTTAATGCAAGTGGCTGCGTAGAAACGAAATTTGGAGTGATGTAGGCGAGCGCGGGATTTCACTGAACTGAAATCAGCGTATAGTAGAAGCACTGACTGCCAACTTCACAGTAACAGAACTTCACAGCCGCCATAAAGTTTAAATCATATCATACTATACGTGAAACAAAAGCTTTCATGTTTTTTAGCACTTATTACTCACGGACGACTAGGAAATATTGAAACATCACCAAAGTTAACAAAGCAAAAAAATATCCATAAAGCAATTTGTAGAAAAAATTGCATTTAAAGTTCTCAAATTATTTAGTGAAAACTACGGAACTCGAATATACTTGAAAATTGCTGAGAGAATGAAAATTGTTTCTGATACAAAAGATAGCAGATATTTCCTTTCCAATAAAAATATCAAATTTAATGTAAACCAGCTAGGCATTCATGAGATATAAACTTATCAAAAAGACCACAAATGTACTCACATCGTCATTCATAAAGTCATCACACTTATCCCCTCCACTCCTGGATTCAAACGTATCGAAGGCACTATCATTGTAGCCTCCCTCCTGCGGGAACAGCTTAGCAAACTCCTGCCAAGCGCTGGCATTCACCAGTCTGGCGTTCTCTGGCATTGCAACCTGTCTGGCAAACTTGCATCCCTTTCCTTGCATACGTAATAATAGTTCAGGAATCCACAAGTTTAAGCCAAACCCCCTGAAAAAATAAAAACAAATTAGATATAATGACAATCTTACTGTGAGAAATATACCGAAGCTTCTCTAAGGGCCGATTTTTCAAAACTTGGAGACAACTGAGTATTCATTTATTGAACTAACTGTTACTAGCAAACCAGTGAACCAAATGTTCACCATTTAAAAAAAAATGTATTTAATTAATTGAGAACTTCGGAGATTTTGTGTTTCGTGATTTCTCGAAAACCGGAAGTGCTACGTTACTCAAATCCGGTTTGTAGCCTTATCAGAATATTCTCTTTATCTATCTCTTACAGTTTGGCCGCTGAAACAGCACCACAGACGGACGGACGGACTTGTCGAATAGATAAGAGATGACAATCTTATTCTAAGAAATATACCGAAGCTTCTCTAAGGGCCGATTTTTCAAAACTCGGAGACAACTGAGTATTCATTTATTGAACTAACTGTTATACTCAATCAATTTTAGAGAGATATCATCCGTCACATTACTATTTTTATTTTTTGACGTTTTGAAACTGTTAATAGGTGAGAATTGAATTTAATGTAATATTGTTTTAAGTGTAATTGTATGTTGAGATGTAATTTAATTTGTTTTTATGTATCATAATTATTACAATATTTTTTTTAAACACTCACACCAATTAGCCTAGCCCCAAAGTAAGCACTATAAGGCTTGTGTTATGGGATACTAGGGTAACGAATAAAATACATAAACTTTACATATATAACTATATTTATATAGAAAAACATATTTAAACATCCATGACTGGAGTATAAATGCTCGTGTTCATCACATAAACATCTGCACCCACCGGGATTCGAACCCGGGACCTCTCGAGTCGGCGACGCCTTGAAACCCCGCGTACAAACCACTCGGCCACGGAGGTCCTCGAATTATTTTGTCATTCGCGTGCTATTATCCTTGTGGTTGAAATAAATGACATGAATTATTACACCAATACACAAGTGAACTCTTTATTTTGTCCATATAATACAATATCAGACAGATGAATTTCATCCAGTGTTCGAGAAAACAGCCCCTGATTAAATTAATTCAACATTTCTAGAATGCAGATAATTTTAAAAGTAGAGCATAGCAAATTTGTACTTTGAATTGCAGTGTCTGTCTAGAGAAGTGCCTTCTGTTTTACAGAAGACCACAGCCAATCAATTAAACCTTTCTTGATTTCCAGGGCTCCAAAAAAAGAGTGGCAGATGGAGTCAGGGTAGGTAAAGCGCCGATATAATTTGTTATCGCAACGTTTGATTCTATACGCTATAGCGCGTATCATCAGGTTTTTCTGCTTACGAATATTACGTACATAGTAATTAATATTAAGTAATATTATTGAAAAAGTACATAATCGTCAATGCTGAGATGAAACCTCTACTCCCTGGGTTCCGAACCTGGGGGTAATTACCCCTCCGGGGGTAAATCAGCCATACTTCGGGGGTAACAAAGAGCCTAATTATTTGGTCAAAACTAAATAATACTACTAAATAGAGCATGCGCTCCTACTTGCTAGTGAGCCCGCGGGGTGCTGAATGTGGGGAGCGGGGCGAGATTCTCTCCTGATGATGACATTATTAGAGACGAAGATGTAGCGGCCAAATTGGACTGATGATAACATTTTAAAGTCAGGGTAAAATCTGTTTCCCTAATGGGTTACAGGGGTATTGGAAAGGTTAGGAAATACTGCTCTACTCGGATCCGTTATAAAAACAATCAAAATACTGTGACAGTATGATTTATATGAGAAGAGAGAATTAGATGATCATCAGAATACTTACGCAGCCATGTTCGCGAAGAAGACGAACAATATAAGACTGGACTTGACTGCGTAACTCTTCGAGACAAACACTTTCAAGTCCTTCAGAACTCCCAGGAACAGAACTTTAGACCGACTTTCCTCAGTGCCGAGTAGCTTGTCCACGAATATGTCGTCTTGAATTATCTTTTTAATCTGTTGGAAACCAGTTTTATTAATGTATACTTTAACATTGTTCAAATAAGCGATTTTTGCTCTCATTATGCTCTTGAAACGTTGTTGTCAGACCAATATCTGCTGTGTGCACTTTTTGGAAATTTCGACATGTCCAGCATTATGACTATATAGTAACTCGTTTTCGAATACATAGATTCAGGCGTTTGAAGTTGTGCATATTATCGTTTTTTCTGTAAGCTAGCTTCAGTAGAACGATCAATACAACAAAAGGAAAATAGTATTTGCAAATATTCTACATTAACTTACAATAGGAAGAATAATTCTACTGTTAACTTCTATTGGAAACAGTCATAATCTTTTCTAAGGGGGTAAATAAGGCGCTCAAAAATTACGATTTTTTGCAAAAAAAGTGTAATTTCTCTTAACCACGTCCAGCATTATGACTATATAGTAACTCGTTTTCGAATACATAGACTGCGAATCTTTAAGGAGAAGGAGCTCGATGGCGCAGGTGGTTAGTGACGTTGAATTTAAGCAACTTTCGCAGTGGTCAGTCATGGGATGTGTGACCAAAAATCTTCTATCTCGTTCCTCCGTGCTTTGGATGGCGTTAAGCCGGCTGCATCTGCAGTCGTTAGCACCCGCCAATCCGCACTGGGCCCGCGCGGTGGGTCATGGTCATGGCCCAATCTCCCTATTCCATCCATAGGGAAGGCCTCTGCCCCTGCAGTGGGGACATTAATAGTCTGATGATGATATGATGATGAATCTTTAGCATTATAATGGTGAATAGAGGTTGTTAAAAAATATGATATGCACATCAGCCAGAATATTGTCAAATATTAACTGCGTTAACTGCTAAGTTAATAATTATTTATGATATTAGTGCGGTAAGTTGGTTATCTTGTATCTAACTTGAATAATTCAAACTGATACATACACGTATGCTACAAATACTAAATACATCCGCACTTAAACACATATACACAAACACACACACACACACACATATACACACATACACATACACCCACACATCATTTTCATACATTACATATTATAATCAAATATTATACTCATAGATGCCTTGCTTTTAAAATGAATTGCTTCCTATTGATCTTTTCATTTATGAGATATTTATTTAGTCTACTTTAGTATTCTCATGTGTGTGGGGGTTTATGGCGCTGAATGCTGAAATACAGGCATTGCCTAATTCAGCAGCAGAGGCTAATAAATTATACTTTCTGTAACTAGTGCTAAGTTTGTTGCGTAATCTTACTGTACTGATTTTTTTGGTCAATAAATCTTATTATTATTATTATTATTATATTATTATTATTATTGTGTGCATTCAAGGTATTGCCCATAATCGCCACGCTGGGCAGGCGGGTTGGCGATCGCAGAACGTATGTTATTACACTGATGACGGCCCGTCACCAATCAGATTTTCCTACGTCGTTGGATGGTTATACCGCCATCGGTCGGTTTGCCAGAGCCTCGTCTGTTGGTCAACAGGGTGCACCACGTGAAGGTGAGGTTGGCTTGGGTTCTTGCAGGTGTATTAAGAATCCCTTACACCCCAAGTAGCGCGAGTAGCCCAAGATCGATCTGAGTGGCGTGCGTTTGGAGAGGCCTATGTCCAGCAGTGGACTAACGTAGGCTGTTGATGATGATGATGATGATTGATAAGTTAGGCTTGTTGAAAATATATCGATGTATCGATATATCGATATTTTTTGTTCGATATATCGATATTTTTTGCCGATATATTTTGATTCGATATATCGATACATCGATACAAAATAACCATTATCGAAATTCGTATCAAAAACGATATTTTTTTAATGATTAGTATCACGATCTAACTAAATTCGTATCTGGAAAAATCGTAACTGGATCTCAGATTAATGATATTCAACATATCTATGATCTGTGCTGTATTTAGTATTGTCTATGACTCTATGTCATCATTCGAAAATAGGGTCTATTTTTAGGAAGATAATTTTCGTTCCATTATTATTCCGCGTGTCATATTTCGTGAGCTACTGTAAAAGGAGCTGTGGAAAATATCGTATATTTTTGGGAAAATTGGTCCGATATATCGATGTCTTTTTCGCGATATATCGAAGCCGATATTGATATTTTTTTAAATATCGATGTATCGATATATCGATATTTTTTTCAACTTTCGACATCCCTATGATAAGTTGGTTATCACAAACGAGTAGACAAAGTCGAGGGCTTACTACTATAGACATGAGCTTATAAATACCAATAACAATGTCATACAATGTTTTTCAACACATTTGCGAGGAAACAAGTGTACCTACCTAATTTAAGAAATGAAGTAAATTTTATCTTGTAAGAAAATGACGCGTGTTGTCAAATGGCGCTACCTGTGGGTGGTGAAAATTAGAACTACATCTTTCGTCTCTTTTTCTTTTAAGTACAGAGACAAAGGCACAGATTAAAAGCGCTACAAAGAAAGTTCGATCGAAATTAAAAAAACCGTAAAGGATACGCTCGGTGTATGTATCCATGTGTGTGCGCGTGCGGTAAAGTGTTTTAGCGCACGCTCCGTTGTATGACAATTGTATATAACCTAAGTAAATGCATTTTAAGCAAATGTGTTGAAAAGTATATTATTTTGCACACAGCAGATAGATATTGGTTTGACAACGAAAGAATATCAACAAAATCAGTAATCGATATTGTCTGTATTTACGTCAAAGCTTACCTTGTACTCAGCTCCCTTCCCATTATTCCTACTGTGTATTTTTGCAAGTAATTTCAAGGCTTTATCCCCTCTATTGGTATCAGCCAGTAGCCTAGGACTCTCTGGTAAAGTCAGCATCCACAAGCCACTCACAAATCCTGGTATACTTCCAAGAGCGAGGTACAGACGCCATGATGCCACAGGCAAAACGGTGTGATAGTCCACCGTTTTAAACGGTATTACCAGCCATGCGATTGCTAAAAAAGTTTTAATACGTTATTTAATAAAAATTTACGTTTTCAATAGTATTCAATGCATCATGGTGAATGTTCAATGTAATGTTTAGTTTTTATGTGCACCAGCACATCATACTAACAATAATAACATATACTGTAATTTACGCTCAGTTTATAAAAATAAGCACCATAGATAGGCCTGCTATAAAATAGTCTTTGGCGTCTAAAAACACTTTTGGGAATTTACAATAAATTACCAGACAAGTCCAAAGAACTTAAACTTTTTAAATAAACAAAAAAATACTTAAAGTTTGGCTCAGCCAAAAATGTTTTTATAGTATCCAAGATTACTTAGAATATAGGTAGAAATATAATTTGTAAATAAATTCAAATGGTTCCTATACGTATAATATAAATGTGTATACATCTGAAAAGGTAGGATCAAGTAGTACTGTACATTAACATTAAGATCTATATTTTCATGTTAACTTGTTCCATACACTATAAATATTTATTTATTTTATTATTATTATTATAGAAAAGTCGGTACTTAAATTTTTGGTTTGTTAGCATAAAAATCTTACTGTGTCAAATCAAAGATGTAAGATATACTACAGTAATACAGTAATTAGTACCATTAACCTTCAACGTCAATAAGAGATCTCTCTTTATATCAAAGTCGTCAAAAAATCTCCAAAGAAAGCACATGAAGTTATACCTGGTAATATGAGCCACGCGGCGACGAAACACATCCCCGTGATGTTAAGATAAAACTGTCTCTTCTTGAACCCGACCAAATCGGACAAGAACGTAAAGACAAGCGTCGATGGACCACCTGTAACAGAACATCGTTAAAAAAACCAGTAAGTTGACAAGCCGAATTGTAAATTAAACCACAATTCTATTAATACTCAACCTTTCGGTCGTAGTTGAAAAGTGATTCAAATAACTCATGCTATTTAATTTTTCGAAATCTTTATGATTTTGCTAGTGAGCGTTAGTTAGATCCATCACATATATTCTTCGCCCGATCTTAAGAAAGTAACAGCTGGTAAAACGAAACACATTTTGTACAGTCATGGCAGTGTTTTACTTTTAAAAGTATATTAAATAAATATTTCGAACACTCACACCATTAGCCTAGCCCCAAAGTAAGCACAGTAAAGCTTGTGTTATGGGATACTAGGGTAACGGATATAATACATATACTGTACATATTTAAGTATATTTATTTAGAAATACATATCAAACATCCATGACTGGAGTACAAACGCTCGTATTAATCACACAAACATCTGCCCCCACCGGGATTCGAACCCGGGACCTCTCGAGTCGGCGACAACAAACCACTCGGCCACGGAGGTCGTCAATATTAAGGTAAAGTAAAAGGATGTTTGTTCACGACCGGTTTTCCGCCGGGGTTAGGCACGGTTTGCGGCTCGGGTAGAAAACTGCGGCGTACCGACACCAAACTGTTGCCGCGTTGTCGTTAACAAACCTTTAGTCTAAACTGTACCATACTTAAATGACGACTGGGGAAGAAATGGTCACATTAACAAGTGCCCCAATGATAGTACAAGCACTAATTAGGACCTCAATAACTTTAATACCACCACTAAGCGCGCTCGCCTTCTAGCAGTCTTTCAGGCAGAGTCTGGTTACTGGCTGCAAGCTCTACCTTCAGCCAATATCGGGACTTTGCTTGACAAGAGCACTCTGTCTCTGGCAATATCGCTTCGACTTGGTGTCAAGACGAATGGTCCCCATCGTTGTCGTTGCGGCATTCGCATCGATGAGTTCGGACACCATGGTCTCTAATGCCAAATGAGCATTGGCCGAATCTCCCGTCACGCCTGCATCAATGACGTCATCCGCAGAGCCCTAATCGAAGTCAACGTGGCAGCGGTCCTTGAGCCTAGCGGCATCTTTCGTGTCGATGCAAAAAGCCTGATGGGATGAAGCTCATTCCTTGAAAGCAGAGTCGCCATATTATTCTTAACAATCACCTATTAAGAACCCGTTCATACTCCTCGCAGCCAGGAGCAATCTGTAGTCGTTGACGGTGCTCTGAGCCAGCATGATGGTGGCATCAAGAAGTAGAGTCAAGCTGAGGATGTTCCGTCTTCCGAACACGTCACCGACAATGCCCCAGAAGAAAGCACTAGCTACGCCACCTGAAAAATATACAATTTAAGCTTAGACTGCAGTCTAATATTAAAACTAATTCCACCTTTCTATATAGCCTTTCAAGATGTCTGATAAAAGAAAATAAGACTTTATAGACTATAATTTTTAAATTTTAGCTCCCAGTCCAGTTTAAAAGATCTTAACACTATTGTGTGTCTTATGATGTTGTGTGCCACACCTACTTTTAATGAACATTATGACGGTTGCCATGTATAAGAATCAAACCCGGTAAGTTAAAATAATATAAAAATTCAAATACATTTCTCAAATAAAATTTATTTACGTAAGTTTTAAAATCATTATTTAACAAATGCTTCCCCTTTTAAAATGAATATTAAAAAAATGCGGAAGACCGAACCTGGGCCGCCCGCGTAGCACGCGAGCTTTTTACCACTGAACCACCGTTGCTGAGTTCTGATATTTTTAATAACAAATAAAAATTTGTTGAAGAAAAATGTGGTGATGTAATAAAAGCTATGTGCACCAAAGTGATCACATAATGAGTAATTTTGTGTCATCTCACCACTCATGAAGACCATTTTGATGAACCCTGCCTGCCATATGGTCAGCACCAGCTCGCACATTGCCGCCGGCAGCACATACGACATGACGCAGTTCTGCAGGTTAAGCAATATTGTGTCATCTCACCGCTCATGAAGGTCATTTTGATGAGCCCGGCCTGGTAGGTGGTCAGCTGCAGCTCGCACTTGGCCACAAACAGCACGTACGAATGAGGCAGGTCTGCACGTTAAGCAATATTGTGTCATCTCACCGCTCATGAAGGCCATGTTGATGAGCCCGGCCTGGTAGGTGGTCAGCTGCAGCTCGCACTTGGCTGCTGGCAGCACATACGACATGACGAAGTTCTGCACGTTAAGCAATATTGTGTCATCTCACCGCTCATGAAGGCCATGTTGATGAGCCCGGCCTGGTAGGTGGTCAGCTGCAGCTCGCACTTGGCTGCCGGCAGCACGTACGACATGACGCAGTTCTGCACGTTAAGCAATATTGTGTCATCTCACCGCTCATGAAGGCCATGTTGATGAGCCCGGCCTGGTAGGTGGTCAGCTGCAGCTCGCACTTAGCTGCCGGCAGCACGTACGTAATGACGCAGTTCTGCACGTTAAGCAATATTGTGTCATCTCACCGCTCATGAAGGCCATGTTGATGAGCCCGGCCTGGTAGGTGGTCAGCTGCAGTTCGCACTTGGCTGCCGATAGCACGTATGACATGACGCAGTTCTGCACGGTAAGCAATATTGTGTCATCTCAAACGCTCATGAAGGCCATGTTGATGAGCCCGGCCTGGTAGGTGGACAGCTGTAGCTCGCACTTGGCTGCCGGTAGCACGTACGACATGACGCAGTTCTGCACGTTAAGCAATATTGTGTCATCTCACCGCTCATGAAGGCCATGTTGATGAGCCCGGCCTGGTAGGTGGTCAGCTGCAGCTCGCACTTGGCTGCCGGCAGCACGTACGACATGACGCAGTTCTGCACGTTAAGCAATATTGTGTCATCTCACCGCTCATGAAGGCCATGTTGATGAGCCCGGCCTGGTAGGTGGTCAGCTGCAGCTCGCACTTGGCTGCCGGTAGCACGTACGACATGACGCAGTTCTGCACGTTGAGAAATATTGTGTCCTCTCACCGCTCATGAAGGCCATGTTGATGAGCCCGGCCTGGTAGGTGGTCAGCTGCAGTTCGCACTTGGCTGCCGGCAGCACGTACGACATGACGCAGTTCTGCACGCCCGTCGTGAAGAACGCGCACGCGCACGCCCCGAGCGCGCTCCGACTAAATCTGCCGTAGCCTGGAACAAAAATCTCTTTAAATTATAACTATAATTGATGTTTCTTCTTTCAAATGTTTAATACTTGTAAAAGTATTCATTTGACATTATGGGTTACCTATAATGCGAAGGGATGCCGCTGCCTTGCAGCTTAAGAATGGCTCGAGGAATTTCGACGCGGTCCGTGAGGGCCGCGGTAGCATAATTGGTCAATGCATTCGCCCGGATTGCGAAGGGTGCGGGTTCGAGTCCCGTCTGCTGCCTGGTCCGCGTGGAATTTTACTTTCTACTTATATTTTCTTTACATTTAAACATCAAGCAGTTACATGTTTTAAAAGATAAAAATTATAAAAATCTCCTAGATAAATAAGTCCCAACTATTACCCTCATCTCATATGTCTTTCCCTATTTACACAGCAGCCGGAAAGGACTTAACTGGGCAAGCCACTCTGTTAGCAACCCAGGTATGCCTGGATCCTGGAACATCTCCTGAGCTGTAAATTCGTTGACTTCGGGTTGAACGGGTAGAATAAGGAGACCAGGCTACGACTTTGTAAGTAATATTAAAAATAATCATTAATTTTAGGTAAACATCCATAGAATTATTAGTACAAGGTAGTAACAATGTCAGACTTATGGCGCGATTATACTTAGTCGTCAGCCCGAATACAAGTGCCAATGGAATTCGGGTAAACAACTCAGTGTAAATGAACGGAGTCGAGTACGCCCTTTTTAGGGTAACTTTCTTTTTGGTTACCAGACACTGTCTTCCAGTCCGTATTCTAGTGTAAATATTGCTTTGGGTGCCCGAATTTCAAACATTTCTTTCGTGCACCTTAATACGGGCTAACTTCTTCTTCTTCTTCTAGTGCCTCTCCAAACAGCGAAAGTTGGCAGTCAGCTTAGCATACGTCTCCTTATCCTTAGCGAGATGGAATAATTCAGCGGCGCTCGAGATTCCAGTCCATTCTCGTAGGTTCCTCAACCAAGACTTCTTCCTGCGACCGACGCCTCGTTCTCCAGCAACATTGCCCATCATTATTAATTGTAAAAGGGCGTACCTTTCGTGTCTCATCACGTGCCCTAGATACGCAACCTTCCTCATTCTGATGGTATCCCAAAGTTCGCGACACGTCGGGCTAATTAATAAATATAAATATAAATGCACCATAAAGTGTTAATGGACGGAATCGAGTACGCCCGTATTCAGGCAGTTTTAGTTTTGGTTAGCCGACACCGTCGTATTCCAGTGTAAATATTGCTTCGGATGCCCGAATTCGAGTAATCCCTGTCGTGCACCCACATACGGGCTAACGACCAAGTGAAATGGAGCCATTATCCTATGTTAGTGTATTAATGCTAAAAATAAATTATCCGCCATTAGATATTTTTTCTATTCACATTTGTTATACCCATATTATACACGTCAATTTAATTTTATTATCTTTGAAATTAAGTTGCTATTATTACCTAGTGGTATCAATTCTGACATGATTCTCTAAACCTAAACTTAAATTTGACAACAGTGTATCCTTGTTATTCTCTATACAGCATGAAAAGGAGAGACTGATGTTAAATTTAGATTTAAGTTTAGAGAATCACGCCAGAATTGGCACCATTGTCTCTGTACGGGACAGTCGATTCTAGCAGCAATCATTTTCAGAATGCCATTTCCACTCCTACGTAGATGGTATAACAAAGAAGCCGCTTTTTGCGCATAATTGTAGGTGCCTGGTATTGCAATGGAAAGTGACTTTATGAGTTATCTCATATTCAAGTCATTTTTCAATTTAACGACTCAGTATATAATATAGGGAGAAAAAAACAGACCTTGCTGAGTTTCTTGCCGGTTCTTCTCAGTACAAGGTCTCCCGCCGTAGATTTGCGAACCTAAGGCGTAGCTTTTCGACATGCATAAGTGCTTGTAACAGCCTAGACTGAATAAACGATATCGAATTTTGTTTTTTTTTTTAATTTCAAGTAGCATGGACTGCCAAATCCACAGAACGCAGATAGAGGTTAGAAGGATGCTCGTAGACCGTTTAGGGAACCGATCTCGCCGGTTCCTCCCCACTACACTTCCACTTAATAGATAATAGCCAATCTAACGACGCGCCATCAAACAATCGAACCAATCAGCGCTCACACCCGAGAGCAACGACTCAATAGGGTATTTGACAATATTAAAAATAAAGTGCCAATTGTTATCATCTGTGTTTAGAATGAATATTGGCAGGGGTTTTCACTATTTTTACAAAAAAAAACATAATTTTACTAAAAACCCACGAAACAGATAATAGTTTTCTTATCTATTGTCACGTGACCCAAAACGCTTAGGATTGGCGGAGCCTAAAATGACGTCACACACAAGTAAACTTCCGGTTAAAGTGACATTACATTGTATCGTTTGACGTTTTAATAACAGTCGTGTGACGTCACACACTAGTAAGACGTCATATTGTCCAGAAAAACGTTTTCGCGGCAACTTGAAAATGGAGTTTTTGATTTGGTTATTTTTACTGAAATACACAACAGAATGATGAATATCCACTCCATAAACATTAGTCAATAACGTGAGATCGTTTTCTAAAACTTGTCAAATACGCTATTAGTACCAAGTTTTGGCCAAATTATGAGCATTTACTAAAAAATATCTGAGATGCGTCTGCTCCGCCCACAAGTCCCTTCTCTTTCTGAGTTCTGTGGCCAAAACGAGCTGAAAAGATTTTTTTACAGTAGTTGTATTTTTTTTTGGTTTTATGACCTGATTTTGAATGTAGGTAAAGAAGTACCTACCCTTAGTACAATAATATAATCTTACTAAATTCATAATCTATTTTTTTATTACTAACAAACGACGTACCATTAGTAACTTTTACTAGCAATAAAACAGCAATTAAATTAAACGGCTAGTTAGCGCCGCGCCACCGTAGAGCCGAAGCCTATATAGTAATATAGTTAAGTTATACTTTATCAATTTACTGGGATATTCCTGCCTATCAGCTTTTCTAACATTTATCGTTTTGTCGACACCCGTGGCCTAGTGGTTTGCACGCCGGTTTTCAAGGTTTCGCGTACTCGAGAGGTTGGGTTCGAATCCCGGGGGGGGGGGGGGGGGGGGGCAGATATATTAGTAATGAATACGAGCATTTGTACTCCAGTCATAGATGTTTAATATGTATTCCTATATAAATATACTTATATAATATGTATAATTGCCGTTACCCTAGTATCCTACAACACAAGCCTACAGTGCTTACTTCGGGGCTAGGCTAATTCATGTGAGCGTTGGAAAACTTTATTTATTACTTTCTCCAGGATTCACAACCAATTTTGAGATTCTCGTAACTCGATGTAACTTCTACTATAATTCGGGACTTGAGGTAATCTATGATAAATAACCATTCATAAAGATAATGCCAATTATATTTTGCCCAAAATAATTATATTCTTGTAGATTTTTTTATACTTTCTTTTTATTTAAAACGGTAGCAAACAAGCGTATGGCCTGCCTGATAATAAACCCCAAGTACGACACCACCAAAAGGTAATGTTATTTTACTGTGGTCTTCTATAAAGGAGAGGTTACTTCCCCAGACGGGCGCTCCAATATCATCATCACCATCAGCCTATTAATGTCCCCACTGCTGGGGCATTTTCATTTGCATTTCTCGCTTTTATCTAAGGAGAATTGGGTATGGCTGAAAACCAGCGCTGCCCGAGACATTCTGTAACGAAGCAGTTTATGCTGAGCCACATCCATTTGCTCTTCACGCTGTCATATCGCATTGTACTATGTATTGAACTATGTATAGGGAAATAGATATATTTTTATTGCTCTCACAGTAAGCTCTTTATATTGTCAAATACCCTATTGCGTCGTTGCTCCCGGGTGTAAGCGCTGATTGGGTCAATTGTTTGATGTCGCGTCGTTTGATTGGCTATTATCTATGAGGTGGAAGTGTAGTGGGGAAGAACCGGCGACATCGGTTCCCTAAACGGTCTATGAGCATCCTTCTAACCTCTATCTGCGTTTTCTGGTTTTGGCAGCCCATGCTACTTGAAATTCAATAAAAATAGGAACATATCGCATTGTACTATGTATTGAACTATGTTGTATATATTGTGTGTATATTGCTCTCACAGTAAGCAATAAAAATATTTCTATTTCCCTATGGATGGAACAGGGACGTTGGGCCATGACTCACCACGCGGGCCCAGTGCGGATTGACGGGTGGTAACGACCGCAGATGCAGCTGGGACCAACGGCTTAACGTGCCTTCAGAAGCACGGAGGAACTCGAGATAGTAAATTTTTGGTCACCAATCCGATGACCAACCACCCAATCATCATCATCATCATCAGCCTATTAATGTCCTCACTGCTGGGGCACAGGCCTTCCCTATGGATGGAACAGAGAGATAGGGCCATGACTCACCACGCGGGCCCAGTGCGGATTGGCGGGTGCTAACGACCGCAGATGCAGCTGGGACCAACGGCTTAACGTGCCTTAAAGAGAGTGTGCCTTAGATAGTAAATTTTTGGTCACCAATCCAATGACCGATCACTGCGAAAGTTGCTTGACTTCAACGATCGCAGCCGAACGCGCTAATCGTGCTCCTCACTGACAGTCCGGCTCCGACTGACTGACTCGGCGCTCCAATACGAGTAACAAATCCGCTATGCCACTTACTTACTTACTTACTGCTGTGGCGCAACGATCCGAAGTGGATCAAGATGACGCCATGCTCTGCGATCCCGGGCTAGGTCTCGCCAGCCGTCGGCACCCAAAGACTGCAAGTCCCTCTGCACCTCGTCGCTCCAGCGGTATCTGGGACGTCCAACGGGCCGTCGTCCTATCGGTTGCCCCAAATACGCCCTTTTCACGGCTCGATCCTTTCCCATTCTCTCTACATGCCCGAGCCAGCGGAGTCTAGCTGCTTTAATTTCTCCTATGATGTTGGGCTCGGACACTAGATTTTCCAACTCGATGTTCGTCCGCACTCTCCAGCTACCATCCT